TATAAGAGACATTTGGTGCTCATGGCATGTTCCTATATATAAAAGACACTTAAAAGTTGTCTCTACTTTTTTGTGTTAATTTCCTATTTTGCCCATATTTATTGTCTCCAACTCACACTCTCTCTCCTTCCCACTTCTCTTTTTTTTAATAAATTACCATTGTTCTCTCTCCTTATTAATGAGGGTATTTTTTGAAAAAAAATTATACTTTTAACATATTAATTGTTCTTAACTAATTTTAACTGTTTTTTTGATAAACGTAATTCGGTTATTTGTCTCTTATAATAAGGAACGGAGGGAGTATTTTAATTCGTAATAAGCCCTTGCGGATAGCTAGACTTAGGGCTTCTCTAGTAGTCCGATGAAAAAATTAAGGCCAGATGAGGGCTTCTTGACGACTTACTTTTCCATCTGCACACACTTGGCGATGACCAGAAATGATTGTTCGATCGCTTTGATTCCAATGTGCAATGTATTTTGAAAAGGAATCACGGATGGAAGATAGGGTTGTCACTTTCGTTGACGACGTCTAAGCCATAGCAACCACATATTCGAAATTCATATCTAATCTCGTTGTCTTGGAAACTTTCGCTGAAGCTTCAATTCTTCATTCAGTTTCAGGGTCCGTATACAGTGATGAGCCATCTGGGCCGTCCAGATTAAATCTGGACGGTCCAGATTTAATATTTTAAAATAATTATTTTAAAATAGAAAAAAATATATTTTTAAAGAATGATAGTTATGAGATTATCTTTATTTTTTATCCTATACTTATTAAAATAATTATTTTTAAAAAAATAAAAATAAAAATAAAATTCAATCTGGACGGTCCAGATCTGATGAGCATTGGGTGCTCATCAAAACTGATGAGCACCCAATGCTCTCCGTTCAGGTTCATTTGGCTCTCCGCTTTTAAAGGACAAGTAAATTAAAATCGCACTTGTTTTGAAAATTTTGGGCAATGGAGGTGTCTTTAAAAGAAGGAAAACAATAGGCATGTGTACTACAAAAAAAATGATCCAATTAATAACGATATAATTTATATTTATTTCATAAGAATTTGAATTTAAATCTTATTATCAATACCAACATCTCATTGATAAACAATTTATAAATATTTTTGTAAATACATTGATCTTGAGTCTTTGAGTAATCCAACTCATCTACAAGTTTATTTTTCTTCTACATGAAAACGTTGGGATTTACACAATTAATTTTAATAAAAACTATGTTAAATTTTAGTCAGCATCATTTTGAGCTGGCTCATTATATCCACATGTTTTATGCGTCTTTGTTTAGAACAAGTCTCCAATGGAAAGCTAATAAAGATTAGGTTTAGCAGAATAGATTAATGTCTTACAAATGTAATAAATCAAGATTCAAATTTCTCTGAGAAGGGATGTTCAGATTTAGCACTTGAATATATAAGACTTACATAGATTATGAGTTCTAAGTCTAAAAAAAATTATGCAAATTATATACTCCTCTGGTCCTATTCATAAGTTATTTCTACTATATTTCACACAAACCAAAAAAAACATTAAATTTTATTAACACTCATTTAAAATTCAACAACTTTTTAATTTTATCTTTATTTAATATACATTATATCTCATGTAATCAAAGTCAACATAATAATAAATAAAGGGTGAAATTGAATATCTATATAAAAAATTTCTCCCAGTGCCCTATAAATAAGACCAAAAAATATCTTTTTTGTCTGTCCTGTAAATAGTCAGACTAGAGGAGTATTGTTATTTCATTTCTTCTCTTTTACGCGAACTTCTAAGCTGAGATTCCATCAGTTGTTGTATTGCATTACAAACTATCAATTTAATATCTTATGCTCTGCTACATATATGGAGAATGTCAATGGGAATTGTATATTTCGAATTTGAAACTCAACTTTTCTTGTTCGTGTTCTTAATTTTTATTAAACATATACTTCGAGTACATGTACATATATGGAGAATGTCAATGGGAATTGTATCCTCATAATATTATTCTCTGTATATCTTGATACTTCCTTATCCGATCCTTACGTGATCTAAAATATCGATCTATGGATTATTCCCCAACATTTGGTAAACTTCATGGGCATTATAGAAACCTTTTACAGCAAACCCACATGAAAGCTTTATCTGCTATTTATATATGAAAAACATGCTAATTAAGAATGAATGAGATATTTCCCCCTTAACTGATTAATCATGCTTATTACAGCTAGATTATGAACAGAGCAGATATTGAGAGAGAATATGTAGCGATGATCCATTTCCAATGTTAATTATTGGCGATAAATTTTGACCATTACAAACTGCAATTATGCTCGGTTTGAACGCATATCATATGAAAAAACAAAGAAGTCTTGGATATATGCTTTACATGTTGCATCCTTCTATTCTCAAGAAACAAGGCTCACTCAACTTTTCTTGTTTGTGTTCTTAATTTTTATTAAACAAATAATTCGAGTACTAAAAACAAGCAGGTATATATTTATTCATGTACATATATGGAGAATGTCAACGGGAATTGCATCCTCATTATATTACTCTCTATACATCTTCATACTTCTTTATCCCTGCATGATCTAAATGTCGATCTATCGATTATTCCCCAACATTTGGTATACTTAATGGGCATTATAGAAACCTTTTACAGCAAACCTACATGAAAACTTTATTTGGTATTTATATATGAAAAACATACTAATTAAGAATTAATGAGATATTTCCCCCTCAATTGATATGATGATCATGCCTATTAAAGCTCGATTACGTATGAAGAGGGCAAATATTGAGAGAGAACATGTAGCGATGATCCATTTCCAATGTTAATTATTGGCGATAAATTTTGACCATTACAAACTGCAATTATGCTTGGTTTGAAAACACATCATATGAAGAAACAAAGAAGTCTTGGATATATGCTTTACATGTTGCATTCTTCTATGCTCAAGACACAAGGCTCAAACAACATACATATACAAATGACATAACAGCACACAACAAAAGGAAAACTTCCAAATCAACCAAACCGGTTAATATTTTATCATTATTGACTGTCACTCTACTTCTTGGATTATTTCTAAACCTTGCATCAGACTCCTTGTGGGCACGTTGGCCCTTTTCCTGGTTGATGTACCTTCAGAATTAAAAGGATTCGGAGGTATTGGTAATTTGTCTTCTTCTCCTTCCAACATTTGAACCACTGCTTGCATTGATGGTCGATCTACAGGATGCCACTGAATGCACCACAATCCCACTATTCCCAACATTCTTGCAATTTTACCATCTCCTTCTTCCTCAATATGAATCCTTACATCCTCCCTTTCTTCTAAAATACTATAGATCCATTCGGGATAGTAAATATGGGTCGCATTTTCTTTCATGTCACGGGTGATGCTTCTTCCCCCTATTACTTCAAGTAGTAACATCCCGAAACTATAAACATCTGCTTTGTGAGATACATTTCCAAAATTTCGAGAAAAGACTTCTGGGGCAATGTAACCCAAAGTTCCTCTGGCATTAGTCATTGACACTAAGCTTTGATCTTTAGAGCACAATTTGGCCAGCCCAAAATCACAAATTTTTGGAGTGAAATTAGCATCCAATAAAATATTGTGAGGTTTGATATCAAAATGAAGTATGCGTTGTTCACACCCTTGATGAAGATACTCAATACCTTTGGCTATACCTAAAGCAATATCGTGGAGCTTTTTCCACCCAATAAAGTTTTGTCTGTTATCTGGTGAATTTATGAAATTTTGTAATGAACCGTTTGGAAAATATTCGTAAACTAAGGCTCTTCTAAAGCCATCTGCACAAAAGCCCATTAAACGAATAATATTGACATGATGGATTTTGCCCATTGTTCCAACTTCTGTAATGAACTCTTCACCATTTCCTTCAGAATTAGTGAGGATCTTCACTGCAACTTTGAACTCAGATGAGATGCTTCCTTTGAACACAGTGCCGAAAGATCCTTCCCCTAACTTGACTTCAAATTGATTGGTAATCCTCTTGATTTCAGCATAAGAATACCTGGTTGGCTTGCGAGCTCTATAATCTTTCAGAAACTTTTCAATTATTGCTTGGCTTTCTTCCCGTGATTTGTAGGAGTTGTGAACATAATGAATTACAACCGGCGTCACCACTAGAAGAAGGGAGCCCAGGATTGATCCTGCACACATGAGAGCTCGAATTTAGTTTCAAAATCAAAACAATTGACCTTTAGGAGAAAAAACCAAGTTCAACTTGAAGCTGACCTGTAATCAGAAATTTGTTTAATGAGTCTGCAAAAGAAATTAACATGATTGATCAATTTAGCATGTTCATATATAACCCAATCATGACTTACCATGTGAGGACTCTGATGTTTTTCATGAGACAAGAAATGTGTATGTTCGTGTGACTTCGTATGCTCATTATAGGTGATTACACACACACACACATTTATTCATGAATGCATGCTATGGTCGAGTTATCTAAATGATATGCATCTTGAAAAAGTGGAACAGGTTTAATTTGATGCAGGACATGAATATTACCTTTGTAAAGAACCTCGAAACATGCAATATCATCACTACTATTCCTCTTGTTGAATCCACATCTCGTTCGATTTGATTCACAATATTTGCACATTGGATGAGACCACATCAAATGAAGTGTTCTCAACATCAAAAATCTCAGGTGGGACAGATGAAATGTTAAATAATTTGCTGCAAAAAACCAGGTAAATTAGTTCATAGACATAGGTGCCAGAAGGAACAGCATATACTTGATAAGTAGAGCTGTTGAGGCACGTTGAAAGGAATTCTCCATGTCCTGGGGATGAGCAATTGAAAAGGGTGTAGTCTTGGGGATACGACGACAGGGATATGAATTGGAAGGGGGAAGGATGTAGATTGAGGTTACGGACATGCCTCAAGAGACAGCCAGAAGGATAATATAACTGAATGATTTGGTATTTGTAATCGATGTGTTTGACATTGAACCTGACTGACCCAGGGAGCTCAAGAACAGCATGATTGGTAGATGAACATTGTAAATCAAACCCGGGGTACCCACACTGTGCTGGTTGGCGTCCTATTAGTCGGAAAGGAAACCGAACAGGCAGGTTTCCACACTTTGTTTTAGGTTCTGGACAGCTATTGGAGCTTCCTACAGACTCTGAAAACCCAAGAATTAGAAACAAGCATACAAAGAAAGAGGAGTTTACAAGTGAGGTTTCCATTTCTTGGTTTCCCCGGAGTAGCAAGATGAGATAACAAGTTCCTGATTTCATCTCAAATATGAAACCAAGATATTTTTCCGGACAAGTGTAGCTTCCCAGCATTTTCCTTGCATGATGTATGTGCTTACGTCAATAAACTCTCTCCTCATTTGTGAATTGTTGGAAGTCCTATCAAGTGTCAACTTCAGTATAATTTCAATGCAACCTTTCGGTGATAAGAAACAACTTCTCTATGATGGTGTGAATACACACGTTTGTCAATTTTTTTACAGTGCTGCCACGCTGTCGGTGTCAAAAAGAAAATTTTCTAGGAAACTTCTTGATTGTACGATATACAAGGTTGGAAGGCCTTTTATATGTCTTTCCAGAGTTGAGATCAATAAGAACTCTTTGTTTTGAGACCATCATGACAAGGGACATGTGTTCCTTATCAACACAATTTCTGGTGGCTCTGTTTCTGATAATGTTATTCTGCAGAACTTGCAAGGCATCAGATGGTGGACACCAGAACTGTTCTCATTTGTGTGGACATCTTAATGTTAGCAGCCCTTTTCGGCTAAACGACTCTCCAGAGCAGTGTGGTTACCTCCGGTTTAACCTATCTTGCGAGCACAACCAACTGGTGATGTACTGGCAGTCTGGGAGATACAGTATTTCGTCCATTGATTATGAGAACCGCACAATTAGAGTGAGGGATGCTAATATTGTGGAGTTGGATTCCTCCTCCCCACCTGAGTATTCTTTAACATACTACAACTTCAGCAATGAAAATGAAGTTGTGACACGGTTTAGACGGTACGACGGCAATATGATGATGATGTTCGTGAAGTGTGAACACCCTCTGCATTCCCCTGGGTTTGTGGACACAGCCCCTTGCTTCAACACTTCAAAGGGGGCTGCAGCTTCTTCGTCTTCGTATTCGTATGTACATGTGAATGTTGGCTATGGAACTCTCGGTGGTTTGGGATTAGACGATGGTTGTGGTATAGAACTGATATATATGACGTCGTGTCCTACTGCGCAGAGCAACCAGTCTTGGTCCTGCATAGACATCCACAATATGCTTCTTTACGGCTTTGACCTTTATTGGCCCTATCTTTATTGGCACTATCTATTTGGTAAGTCCATTAGTCGCTTTAATTCCCTGTCAATACATATACACTCTGCATAACTGGAACTTATTTTTATCATTTTTGGCCTTTAATTTATGCTGGTTCTCTCTATCCTTATCCCTTGTTTTTGGAATTCCTTGAAATAAGTCGATCATATTGTTAAAGCATTATGCATGTGACTCCATTTTTTTGGGATAATAATATCTAATATGTTCAATGAATTATTATATTATAATTGTTGAAATGCGAACTAGTGTGTGTCGTTTTTTTTTTAATTATTTTTTTACGATAACTACAAGAGAAGTTTTTATGATTGAAAAGCCTTCAATCAATATATATATATAAGAGCTAGATATCCGCACTCCACCTTTATCACATAAGTTTTAGATTGTTGCACATGAAATAAGTTTAATTGAAATCAAAGCGTGAATAAAAATTAGAATCAGACACCAATAATATTAAAAAAAAAAGAAGAAGCAGAATATAAATGCTACTAATGAAAAATACTATCTCTTATGCTTAATATAAGAATTAATTTGACTTTCAATTTGATTCTAAATATAATATTCTAATTCACCTTGTTTTTCATGTTTAACTATTTTTTTCAAAGTTGTCCTTACAGAAGTTGTACATGTTAATAAAGACTCCATCTATCAAATACACATAATTAGCAAGGTTATTTGAGAAAAGACAACAGATATTTATTATAAATAATTAACCTAACAAATTTTCTTAATTTACTTAAATTAGTTGACTAACTCTTACATCAAAAATCAGGGGAAGGCAGTATATGAAATGTACCAATAAAGATATGTTGAATATTTCTTCAAAGTATTTAGTTAACATTTAAGAGAAATTCTCCTACGGCTCTAACCTCGCGAATCACGGTGACTTTACCTTGTAATATTAGGTAGGAGATTAGTGTTGGAATGCATTATAACGTAATAGGAATGAGGTTAATTACTAGTACTCCTCCAATCCTTAATATAAGACCCAATTGTAAAGTTTGTTTTAGTCCTAAATATAATACATATTTCTCATATTTATCAATTTTTTCTAAATTACCCTTATGAATACCCCTCAACCATAATCAAGTAGAAGAGAAAGAGGTATTAAGAAAGATGATTATGGTGTTTTAGGAAAAACATATCACATTTCTTATAATTAATTAACTTACCTAACTTCTTTAATCTAATCAAATTAGCTAAATGGGTCTTATATTAAGGAACAGAAGAGTACCTCGTTTTGTATGTTTAAAAAATGGTAATATTTTGCATTACTCTATCTGGTGTTATAATAACATGATAAGGATAATAAGTAAAATAGCATATAGTTTCTTGATGATATTTTCCCTTGGCATCATCAATAGTTCACAACCATCATACATTTGGTATTTTCTTAGTTATAGAAGGAATATATAAGTTATATTTTTTTTTTCGATGTCATTTTATTGTTATTGAATTTTTTATTTTACAATATTCTAACACACATCCCTACTAATACATTTGTTTGTCTGATGTAGCAGCAGAAAGAAATACCATTCTTCAAAAGATCCTCCAGCTTATCGAGGGTAAGGCATCTTATGATAACTTCTAACTTTTTGGTAGCCTGCATAGCATGTGCTTGCTAGTTGCACTGTTTCAAAGAATCTCAGAAAGAAAGAGTCATAAATTAATTTCCACTGCTTATATATAAAATTTTTATGATTTTACTTCAAAAAATTTGTCCTACACCAACCTTTTCCCCCTTCATAAATTATTTTTATGAGCTATTCATTTAATTATTATAACCTTTACTGAACGCTAGTGTATTTTTATTTTATTTTTCCTAAATCTCTAAACACTAAACTAATCAACAAATAACTTTTTGAGTTAATACGATGTTAAAATTTAACATCATTAAGGTTTTGGTTTCTAATTTAAAATAAGTGGTTTTGATCCTTGAAATTTGATTTCATTTTGATTTGCTCAAAGATTTTTGGTTCTTGGAACAATGTTTTAGGAAATAAAATCATTGGTTTCAAATTTCAAAAACTAAAACAAAAATCAGGTCAAATTTGAAGAACTAAGAATAATATTAACCCTTTAAGTTCATACAAATATCATCAATTATTATACTATTTTACTCATAATTATAAAGCATAATATATTATTAATCATATGCCACTTAATTTTAGGCCACATATAGATAAACCCCTACTTATATTATATTCTTTCAGTCAGGGGACACCAATTAACAATAGAAATGTTTTTTTTAATATAAATGTAGAAATTTAAGAGGATTCATCACTGCAGTTTAAAAATGAGAGATGCTATGTGCACATAACCTAAAATTTACGAGGCTATATACGATTTGGCCTTGTATTTTTAGGAGAGTTCAGGCAGTTGAGTTTCTATCTTAATATATATGAAGGAATGCTGCCCATTTAAACTAATATTATTTCTAAATCTTGGACAGAGAAAATTCAGATATTTTTGTTGAATTAATTGGGGTTAATATCATCTTTAGCTCATGAAATTTGGTCCTTTTTTTTTTGTCCTTGAAATCTAAAACGAGTGATTTTGGTCCCTGAAACCTTATTTCAAAAATCAAAAACGTTGTTTCAAAGACAAAAAAAATATTTAAATAGATTAAAATAGAGTCAAATTTCAGGGATAAAAAATGATATTAATCTAGTTAATTGTATTCACTTTAAATGAACAACTAAGTGAAAAAAAATATTTAGATAATATATTCTGAAGTTATACATTTCTAATAAAATGCCTCCGGTTCCGAATATAATTTGCACTGCAAAATAAATATTATATTTAGAACGTATGAAAAGTTCTTGGGAAAAGATTGTACCTCCGGCTTAAGATTGACTCTCACTATTTTGCTTCATTATTCCAAGTGGCAATGAGTGTGAAGCTCCGTTAGAGGTGTTTGTTCTAGTCCTTCTCAGCTCAACTTGATTAATCGGAATTTAATGTGGCTTTGAGGTATCATGTGGTTAGGATGAGACAAATAATTACCTCCAATAATTAAGATTTAACAAAATTATTCAACAAATATATCTATAAATAATAAAGTAATATTGCTTATTTTGCAGTTATACATTATAAATGTAGTTTGTACTTCCTCCTTAGGGTTAAGGTATAAATGCGTTTCGAAAGTTTTCATTCAAGAACAATAGTGTCCCATAGGTTTTCCGCGTTCAAAGTTTCCTATAAGTATTAAAATGAAGCAATATTGTTTCTTATCATTAAAAATGTTAATGGTAAATATTAATACTTTAATAGTCAATATTAGTTTTGAATAAATTTCGGGGCGAAATTTATACATAAGCCCTTCTCCTAATAGGCTAATACTATGCTGATGCACAAGCTATATTCACATTAATCATGGTACTTTCTCGCAAGAGGAACTGATATCACTTCTTGTTTTCTCTGTTTTGCAGACATTTGGTCATACCTCTACGCTATGATAACGTTCGGTATCCCTTGACTTTAACAAACTTATCTAATTTTTAAGAGTAGAAGAGTAGACAGTGCAATGACTGACCAAACATTAGAAATTCCAACCTGTACTAGTTTCCGTCGAAAGGCACATTCTAATTAATTACCTATGTTCTCTCTTGAATTTTCATCTACAGCTATTTATGCTGGAGGTAAATTTGTCTTGGGGGCTCCATTTCTACTGTTTGTATATAAATTTTTATGAACTTACTGTTAAAAATTTGTCCCGCAATCTTTTTCCCGTTTACAAATGATTTTTTTACTAGCTATTCATTCAATTACTATAAGCTTATGATGATACTGTATATTTATTTTATTTTTCTGATACGATGTTTAAATAGTTGTGCATATATAGGTTGAGGAGCACTAGATAGTTCCAAGAACCCACCACCATACTAATATAACGACATCCTATTCAATGTGGCACTAAGTGTTTTCACAGCTATCACACTACTTTCTCATAAGAGAAACTGATGTCAATGTTTGCCTTCTCTGTTTTGCAGACTACTTGGCGTGGAGGTTCACTCTAGTATGGTCAGGTATCCTTGACTTAAACAAAATAATCCAAATTTTAAGAGTACAAGAGTCGAGAGTTCAATGGGTGACCAAACAATAGAAATTCATTACTAGTTTCAGTTAAAGGGCACACTCTAATTATTTATCTTCTATTTTAAATTTTCATTGCCAGCTCTTTATACGGGGGCCAAATTTGTGTTGGGGGCTCCATTTTTCCTTGCCCTTCTGATCTATAAATGGCGACAAAGGCATTTATCTATGTATGAAAGCATTGAAGATTTTCTGCAAAGCGACAACAACATCATCCCCATAAGGTACTCCTATGGAAAAATCAAGAAGATGACAAAAGGATTTAAAGTAAGACTTGGGAAAGGAGGCTATGGCTCTGTGTTCAAAGGACAACTTCGAAGTGGTCGTGATGTGGCTGTCAAGATGTTGGATAAGGCTAAAGCCAATGGGCAGGATTTCATCAACGAGGTTGCAACACTTGGTAGAATCCACCATGTAAATGTGGTGCAACTCATCGGTTATTGTGTGCAGGGATCAAAGCGTGCTCTTGTATACGAGTTCATGCAAAATGGTTCTCTTGACAAATACATTCTCTCTAAACCTAATGACAATGAGCAATCCTTGAATCTTCATCAATTGTATGCCATTTCTCTAGGAGTAGCTCGTGGTATTGAATATCTTCACAAAGGGTGTGATATGCAAATTCTGCATTTTGATATAAAGCCGCACAACATCCTTCTTGATGGCAACTTCATCCCAAAGGTTTCTGATTTTGGCCTGGCTAAACTTTACCCAACAAATGATAGCATTGTGTCTCTTACGGCGGCAAGGGGAACTATAGGATACATGGCTCCTGAACTGTTCTACCAAAATGTAGGTGGAGTCTCCTATAAGGCTGATGTGTATAGCTTTGGGATGTTATTAATGGAGATGGCTGGTAGAAGGAAGAATCTGAATGTGTTGGCTGAGCAATCGAGTCAATTTTATTTTCCTTTTTGGGCTTATGATCAGTTAAATGAAGGGAATGAAATTAGCATAGCAGATGCAACAGAGGAAGAAATGAAAGTGGCAAGGAAAATGCTGATCGTTGGGTTGTGGTGCATTCAAACCAAGCCTAGTGATCGTCCTTCAATGAACAGAGTTGTGGAGATGCTTGAAGGAGAGGAGCACGATTTAGAATTGCCTCAAAAGCCTTATCTATATCCAGAAGAGTTACCAGCGAGGGATGATAATGCAAATTCAATACGGCGATCCAACTCATCAAGCAATCATCCTTCGATGGAAAAGGCTCTTGAAGCAGATAAGCAAGAGTCAGTATTGCCTCAGCAGTCTTTTCTATATGCACAAGATTCACCAACAATTGATGTTAGTGCTCATTCACGTTCAACGCCTAAATCCTCTGATCCTTCAGTGAATAATCCTAAAGAGACAACCTCATTTTTAGCTAAAGATGATGAGAGATCAATATAGCATTGTACATATGTATGTTGAGTACTAATGACCTTGATACATATATTTTTATTACGAGATACTCTTAAATATGAATAAGAAGTGGGGGTTGTATCGACCTGAGAAATGGATGCATGTTAGGCTTCCATTTCTTATATCATGTGATACAGTAAGGAAGAAGCATTATGTCTTTCTTGATAGTTATGTTTTTGAGGAAATTGATAAAAATGTTTTACCTACTGCCTTGGTCCTAGGACTACATTTATCAAAAGAGACATGCTCGAATAGGGGACACATATTTAATGATCCAAAGTATGTGAAAGCTTTTCATATAATGGTATATATTTTGCCCTCTCAGTTATTTGGTAGTGTCAGGATCCATCTTTCCTGGCAGATAACACATGCACTTTTTATAAAGAAGCAAAAGGATTTGAACCACAAGCTTCCATTGATACAGAATGATAGTTGATCTATATATAGCATAACTTTGGATGCACTTAAGTAATACTTTTCCTAGTTCTTTATTTTTATTTGGCAATTTTAGAATCTTCTCTTCGCGTCAATATGAATTCTAACCTCTTGTCTAGCTTTCTCCTCTCGTGATCTTTGCCCCTGCAACCCTCCTAAATGGCTGGTACGTGTAGCAGCATCATGCCAAGACTAACATCTTATTATATGTTCAGAATTTTCTCAGAAGAATTTTGATGTAATGGGACTTTTTGTCCCTTCGACGGTTGCCAATAACATTGTACTTTTGTCCATCTGATGAAACAATGTTTCATAATCGGACAGTTCAAGATTTAATATTAGCGACCCAACTCTCAGTGATTTGGGGTTAGACGATGGTTGTGGCATGGAATTGGCATATATGACGTCGTGGCCTGCTACGCAGAGCAACCAATCTTGGTCCTGCACAGACATCCACAGTATGCTTCTTTACGGCTTTGACCTTTGTTGGCCCAGTGTATTAGGTAAGTCCATTAATCGCTTTAATACCCTGTTAATGCATATAGACTCTGCATAACTGGAACTTTTTTTTTTCCCTTTTTGGTCTTTAATTTATGCTGGTTCTCTCTATCCTTGTCCCTTGTTTTTGGAATTCCTTGAAATAAGTCGATCATATTGTTAAAACATTATGCATGTGACTCCAATTTTTTGGGGGATAAAAATATCTAATCTTTTCAATTATTATATTATAATTGTTAAAATACGAACTAGTGTAGTTGAATGGTTTTAGATTGTTGCGTTGCCAAAAAAGAAAAAAAAAAAGAAGTTTTAGATTGTTGCATATGAAATAAGTTTAATTGTGAATAAAAATAAGAACCAGAATAAAAGTGCATTTTGATAGAATCGATTTTCTTATTAAATGCTATCAACAAAGGATACTCCTCTCATCCTTAATGTAGGACTTAATTAACTAATTTGAGTAGAGTAAAGATATTAGTTAAATTAGTTAATATAATTTTTTTTAAAACACCCTAATCACTTTTCTTAATTCTTTACCTTCCTCTCCTACTTAAATATTATTGAGGAAATATCAACAACATTAATTTGGAAAAAAATTGATAAACATATTAAATAGGTCATATATATAAGACCAATATGAGCTCTCAAATTAGTTCATATTAAGGACCGGAGGAGTATATCAAATTTATTAATAAAGATATCTTGAGTATTTTGTTCAAAATATTCAGTTACTCCCACCATCCTATTTATAAGCTTTAAATTTGAAAAGGGTGTGGTCCATTATATAAAGTTCAATTTAGATTTTGTCTCTACATTTAATAGTTTTTTTTTAAATTTTGCCCTTAATGATTATTTTCTCTTCTTTGCCACACACTCCCATCATATTTTCCCATGCATTTTATTTTATCCTTTTTTTTTATTTATTATAAGGACATATTTTAAAATAAAAATATATTTCTTATTTATTTATTACTTTTAACTAATTTTAACTGATTTTTTATTATATATAAACCATTAATTTGAACCTCATAATAAGTACTCGAGCGATTCACGTTTAGAGTAATGAAAATGAGATTACTAATTTACCTCATTTCATAGGTTAAAAACAAAAAAAAAAATGATAGTACTACTTCTCATCCTAGATATAATATTTAGGTTGTAGTTTAATTTTAAGAATTAGTGGTTGGTAATTAACTTTAGTTTTGCCAAGAAAGAAAAGTAGGGTCATATTTGGTCTATGAAACAATCTTTTATTGAAATTGAAATGTGAATTAAAAGATAAGAATGAGAGTAAAAATGAGTTTTAATTTGATGATGTAATGAAAAGGAGAGACATTATATTCTTTTTAAAAAAAAAAATTAAGAACTCTTTATGTTGGAGAATTTGTTTTAAATTTGAGGAAAAATTACACCGCAGTTTCACATAAGAATGGTAACACAACAAAATCCCACCAAATGACGAAATAGCTGGCTGTCATGTCTCTCGGCACTTGGGTATAAATAAGTTTAGAATTACAGTTACAAAATTATCCTACTGGATGTTTTTTTTTTTGCCAAAAAAAAAACAATTACAAACACCAATAGCCAGCCAGGAAAAAAAACCATTCAAATAAAACCTAGAGATACAACCCATCACACAGCAAAACCAAAAAACAAAAACCTAAAGTACAACTTATCAAAAGAACCATACTTTTTTCCAAAAAAAAATATTTTATGTTTTTTGGTTATCTCCTAAACTTATTTTTTTTTCTTTATATAAAGACGTCACTCTAATTTTTATACTTTCAACTATTTATCTATATTTTTTATAATTATATCGCGTTAAGCTATTCCCCACCATAATTGCTCGACCCATCATAGTTTTTCATTGTGTAAGAGAAAAAGTGATTCACCATCACAAGGATATAATGATTAGCACGCTGGCACTTGAATGTCCACCGAAAACTCATGTTATTCTCTAGTATTCTCCTTCTTTTTTTTTTTTTGTCAATTATTTTTCTTAATTTCTAAGAAAAATCATGTGTGACATGTCAAATAAATACGTATCAATGTATCATGTCTATGTGACGGCCATCATACATTTAATATTTTCTTAGTTTTAAGGAATATATAACTTTTTTTTTTTGGTTTACATTGGATATCATTTTATTGTGAGTGAATTTTTTTTTTTTTTTTTTTTACAATATTCTACCACATATCCCTACTAATGCATTCGTGTATCTGGTGCGGCATCAGCAAGCAGATTGGGCATACTTGAAGGGATCGGTTTGGCTATCGCAGGTAAGGCATCTCATGATAACCCATAACGTTTTTGGTTCCATGCATGGAAGTTGCGCTGGATCAAAGAATTAATCTCTTTGAAAAAAGTCATAAATTTCTGCTGCTTATATATAATTTTTTTTTATGAATTTACTTTCAAATTTGTCCTACATCAACCCTTTTCCCCTTCAGAGATTACTTTCATGAGCTATTCATTTTACTATATTTTGTGTAAACTCATAGTGTCCCCAAATTATTTTAGATTTGACTCTCTATCGGATTGGAAGCATTAAAGTTAAAACCTCTCAACAAATATGCTTTCTGAGATTCGAACTTGTGCCCTCGTTCTTACAAGGATGAGATATTTACTATCTCAACCAACATCTTATTAGTTCATTTTAATATAATCTTTGTTGAATGATAGTGTATTTTTATTTTACGTTTCTTATACGGTACATAAATAATTGTTTATAGCTTGCGAAGGAATAGCTAGTGTCAAGAGCTCACTTTCATACTGATATAACAACTTCATCACAGCCTACCCAATGTGGCACTAAATGTTTTCACATTAATCATAGTACCTTCTCGCAAGAGAAACTTATATCAATTTTTGTTTCCTCTGTTTTGCAGGCATCGGCGCTCTGTTAGGTAATCCTTGACTTTAACAAACTTGTATAATTTTTAAGAACATAAGAGTAGACAGTTCAATGACTGGCCAAACAATAGAAACTCAATACTAGTTTCAGTTAAAGGGTACTTTCTAATTATCTATTTTCTCATTTAAATTTTCATTAACAGTCATGTATACGGGAGGTAAATTTGTGCTGGGGGCTCCATTTGTCATTGCCCTTTTGATCTATAAATGGCGACGAAGGCATTTATCAGTGTATGAAAGCATTGAAGATTTTCTGCAAAATGACAACAACATCATCCCTATAAGGTACTCCTACAATGACATCAAGAAGATGACAAAAGGATTTAAAATAAGACTTGGAAAAGGAGGCTATGGCTCTGTGTTCAAAGGACAACTTCGAAGTGGTCGTGACGTGGCTGTCAAGATGTTGGATAAGGCTAAAGCCAATGGTCAGGATTTCATCAACGAGGTTGCAACACTTGGTAGAATCCACCATGTTAATGTGGTGCAACTCGTCGGTTATTGTGTGGAAGGATCAAAGCACGCTCTTGTATATGACTTCATGCAAAATGGGTCTCTTGACAAATACATTCTCTCTAAACCTAATGACAATGAGCAATCCTTGAATCTTCATCAATTGTATGCCATTTCTCTTGGAGTAGCTCGTGGTATTGAATATCTGCATAAAGGGTGTGATATGCAAATTCTGCATTTTGATATAAAGCCGCACAACATCCTCCTTGATGGCAACTTCATCCCAAAGGTTTCTGATTTTGGCCTTGCTAAACTTTACCCAACAAATGATAGCATTGTGTCTCTTACGGCAGCAAGGGGAACTATAGGATACATGGCTCCTGAACTGTTCTACCAAAATGTAGGTGGAGTCTCCTATAAGGCTGATGTGTATAGCTTTGGGATGTTATTAATGGAGATGGCTGGTAGAAGGAAGAATCTGAATGTGTTGGCTGAGCAATCGAGTCAATTTTATTTTCCTTTTGGGCTTATGATCAGTTAAATGAAGGGAATGAAATTAGCATAGCAGATGCAACAGAGGAAGAAATGAAAGTGGCAAGGAAAATGCTGATCGTTGGGTTGTGGTGCATTCAAACCAAGCCTAGCGATCGCCCTTCAATGAACAGAGTTGGGGAGATGCTTGAGGGAGACGAGCAAGACTTGGAATTGCCTCAAAAGCCTTATCTATATCCAGAAGAGTTAACAGCAAGGGATGACAATGCAAATTCAATACGGCGATCCAACTTATCAAGCAATCATCCTTCGATGGAAAAGGCTCTTGAAGCAGAGGAGCAAGAGTCAGCATTGCCTCAGCAGTCTTTTCTATATACACAAGATTCACCAGTAATTGATGTTAGTGCTCATTTACGTTCAACACCCAGATCCTTTGATCCTTCAGTGAATAATCCAAAAGAGACAACCTCATTTTTAACTAAAGATGATGAGAGATCAATATAGCACTGTAAATATATAAGCTCAGTGCTAATGACCTTGATATATATATTTATTACGAGACTCTTAAATATGAATAAGAAGTGGGGGTTGTATCGACCTGAGAAATGGATGCATGTTGGGCTTCCGTTTCTTACATCATGTGATATATTAAGGAAGAAGCATTATGTCTCTCTGGATAGTGTGTTTTGGAAGAAATCGATAAAAATGGTTTACCTACTGCCTTGGTCCTAGGAGTACATTTATCAGAAGAGACATGCTCGAATCAGGGACACTTATTTAACGATCCAAAGTATGTGCAAGCTTTTCATATAATGGATAGTATTATTGTATATGTTGCCCTCTCAGTTATTTGGTAGTGTCGAGATCCATCTTTATTTGCAGATAACACATGCACTTTTTATAAAGAAGCAAAAGGATATGAACCACAAGCTTCCATTGATAGAATGATATACAGATGATCTATATAAAGCATAACTTTGGATGCACTTAAGTAATACTTTTCCTGGTTCTTTATTTTTATTTGGCAATTTTAGAATCTTCTCTTCGCGTCAATCTGAATTCTAACTTCTTGTCTAGCATTCTCTTCTCGTGATCTTTGCCTCTGCAAGTGCAACCCTCCTAAATGGCTAGTACGTGTAGCACCATCATGCCAAGACTATTATATGTTCAGAATTTTCTCAGAAGAATTTTGATGCAATGAAACTTTTGTCCCTTCGACGGTTACTAATGATATTGTATTTTTGTCCATCTGATGAGGCAACGTTTTCATAATCGGACAGTTCAAGTTTAATGGTTGGACGATCAATCTTAATTAAATTAATATAATTTAAAGAGTATGTATAAAAAAAAAAAAGATATCTTAGATATTATTTACTAATATTCTTCCTATACATGACAAAGTTATAGTCAATCTTGTGTGTGCAATTACTGTCTCTTTTGAGACAGTTGGCTAATAGATTCTGTATATTAAAAAGGGAAAATTGCAACAAAAAGATTGTGAAAATTGAAAAATTACAAATAAAGTATTTTGTCAAAGATTTGTTGTTATTTGCCATTCAATTGCTATAAAAACTTATACAAATCTTATAATGAGTCCTAATTTATGATTTTGTAATTTTTTGTATTAAAAAAGTAAGATATAAGTGGCCTAATATAACATAAAGTTATATAGCATGGGTAAATGTTTTTTTTTTAATTACGTATAAGTATCCTTTTATTAGAAAATTTGTGGAGTTGATGAAAACAAATAAGCCACGTTTTTTGCTCTTATTGTTTGGCAAGCCCAATTCCCATATAGCGGCTTGTTTTCCGCTTCATAGCAGATCACTTGTATTGAAAATAGTTCTGTCATGGTTTGCATTGCTTTTACTTCCCCCAAGCCCGTTATACCGAGATGGATGAGTGGAAATGAACCAGAAGTCTGAATCACTGGGTCCTTTTCTTCAAAGACTTGAAAATTATGCATTGTGTCCCAAGGCAACAAAAATTCTTCTTGCTAATAAGAAGTTAGTTTAGAACAATACTTATGTCAAGTTTATTATATTTATTATGTTAAATTTTTCAATCATATGTTTCCTATTTTTGAAATATTAGTATTTAATAAATTTTAGTTATAAATTCACATGACAAAAAAGGACACATGACTATGTGTGATAGGAGAAGTTGACATATTGAATATAAAGAATTTGATCAAAGTTTTTTTCTTTAATTTAATATTACATTCAATTATTATTGAACTAGAAACTAAATCTTATACTTATCCTGTCCTTAATATATGAACCTAATTAACTAATTTGAGTAGATTAAGAATGTTGGTTAAATTAGTTAATATGATTTTTTTTTCTAAAATACCTTAAGCATCTTTCTTAGTTTCCTTCCTTCTTGTCTTACTTAATAATTATTAGAAAAATATTAATAAGATTAATTTAAGAAAAAATTGATAAATACATTAAAGATATCTTATATATAGAATAAACATCAACTCTCTAATTAAGTCGTATATTAACTAACAGAGGAGTACAAAAGATTGGAAGTAGTAACTCACAAAGTCATGGATGCATTTTCATGTAAGAATCAGAGTTGGTTGATAAATAATCCATAAAAATTTCTATAAGTGCTTTATAAGCCCAAAAACGTGCCCTAACATTATTGAAATATCGAAATCCCACTTGTCTAAATTTTTGTTTATAAAAAATTTTATACTCTTGTGATCTTTAATGTATGAACTAATTGTTGGGTTGAGCTTAGTTCTAAATATAAGCCCTATTTCTCATATTTATTAAATTTTTCTAAATTATCTTGTTAATACATTCTCAACCATAATTAAGTAGGAGAATGAGGAAAGATATTAAGAAAGATGATTATGATATTTTAAAAAAAACATGCCATATTTTTTATAATTAACTAACTTACCTACATTCTTTAATTTAATCAAATTAGTTAAATAGGTTTTACGTGCTTGGACATATTAAGACCAATCCTAAACGTGCCTGTATCTATCTTAGTTATGAAAATTTATTCTCCAAAAAATAGGTTCAAACTTGATATTTATTTTGGACCATTGAATATGTAGTTCAAATATGAATTTTGAATCGAATTATTCTACTTTGAGATTGGTAGCTTCAATGATGACCCCTTTTTTCCACCCCAAGCTAATACAGTCAAATTGATGTGGTGGCTTCAATTCTGCAGTAGAGCTTCAGGGCTTGATTTTCCGTTTGAGAAAAGAAATCATTGATAAGAATAAAACATTTTTATGAGTGCTTAGTGTTCAAATCACGAAGTAATTAAACATGTACAACTACATGACTTCATTTACTTATTTATTGAAAAAGCAATATTAATTCTGATAAGTCATTTATAAAATTTGCACCATAAAAATGGGTTGAAAATTATTCAAGTTGGATAGACAAGCTTTTCATTCATAAATACTCGTGCATTTTTGTGGGAAAGTCTAAAATATTAAATGCTAGACTATTGGCTGGGTGACAGGTCTGCTTTCATGCTCACAAATTTCCACCCTTGCAGGCACGTTATTGAATTTTTCATTGTCTTGGAAACTTTCAATGAAGCTTCAATTATTCTTCCTTCAGTTTCATTTGGCTCTTCAATATTGATGAACAATTTATATATTTTTGTAAATACATATCTTGAGTCTTTTGATTGCCTCAGACTTATAAGTCTCAAAATCTAACTCACCTACACGTTTTTTCCCCTCCAGATGAAAAAGTTTTAGTCCTTAATGTAAAAAGCTAATTGAGGGTTGAATTTAATCTTAAATATAAAAATTCAATTCATTTTGTCTCTTATTTTTTCTCCAAATATCTCTATTAATTGTAAAAAGTTCTCACTAAGAAATAATTCTAATAATCCAATACCCATGATTGAAAACGATAATTTAGGGAGACTAATACATATTTATGACAAATAACTAATTTTATTAATTTTCTTAATAACTCTAAATTAGTAAAATGTCTTTCATATCTAGGATAGGGGAAATATCAATTTAATTTTTTATGCTCTGCTACAGAGCTAATATAATATTTTGAACCTAAGTCTGATACTCAAACTTCTCTAGTTTGTGTACTTAATTTTTATTGAACACATACTTCAGGTACTAAAAGCAAGGAGGTGTGTGTATGTATTCATATATGCATAGAATGTCAACGGGAATTGTATCCTCATTATATTGTTCTCTATATATCTTGCTACTTCTTTATCCCTATGTGATCTAAAAAAATGCAAATTAAAGGAGGAGAATTTGATTGAGAACTGATGCTTATGTTGGTACTTTTAAGTGCATTATAGAAACTTTTTGCAGCAGACCTACATGAAAGCTTTATTTGGTATTTATATATGAAAAACATGCTAATTGAGAATGAATGATATATTTTCCCTCTTAGTTGATCATACCAATATTACACCTAGATTACTTATGAACAGAATAAACATTGAGAGAACATGTCTCAAACATATATGTAATTTTTTAGTAATTATAAACTTGTCATTACAAATTGTTCTATCATCACTGGAATTTTTTATTAATTATATTTTTTTAAAAATTTCATAGCAATTTTTTCTAAAAATCACCTACTACCTGCCAACAAAAAGTATTATCGTTAATAAGAATTTGATCAATAACTCGAAAATCATGGATTGAAATGTTACTTTTGAGGTGAAGATTTTATTGTGAATAAGATTTGTCAATATTTTTATATTTTCACCTGAGTGAATTGTGATACAGTTCACCTAAACTTTTTGTTCACAAAAAGATTGTACTCTTCCGGTTCTTAATATAGGACCCAATTCTTGAGTTGATTTTAATCGTAAATATAAGATCTATTTATCATATTTATCAATTTTCTCTAAATTACCTCTATAAATACTCTATCAACCATAATCAAGTAAAAGAGAGAGATGAGGTATTAAGAAAGATGATTGTGGTGTTTTAGGAAAAATGTGTCACATTTCTTATAATTAACTAACTTACTTAACTTTCTTAATCTAATCAAATTAGTTAAATGTGTCTTATATTAAGGATCGGAGGAGTATATTATCTATTTTAATTATGAAATTATATTCTCAAAAAAATACATTAAAATTTAATATTTATTTTCAGTAAAATAATCGCTTAATAATAATTTATTAACACTTTTATTTTAATAATATTATGTACAGTGCATTGAATTACACAATTCAATTGTGGCCATCATCTCCACCGTCTGGCTTTCTCCTAGTAGCTA